TTTTGGAAAGTTCAATTTCGACTCAATAGATGGCGCTCTTTTGGGAAGTTTATTTTTTACTCAATAGATGGCGCTTTTGGAAAGTTCAATTTCGACTCAATAGATGGCGCTCTTTTGGGAAGTTTATTTTTACTCAATAGATGGCGCTTTTGGAAAGTTCAATTTCGACTCAATAGATGGCGCTCTTTTGGGAAGTTTATTTTTTACTCAATAGATGGCGTTTTTGGAAAGTTCAATTTCGACTCAATAGATGGCGCTCTTTCGGGAAGTTCAATTTTTGACTCAATAATTGGCGCTCTTTCGGATAGTTCAATTTCGATTCAATAGATGGCGCTTGTTCGAAAATAACGCATCATTTTTTTTTTATTCAAAAAAATACAGGTTCTCCTTCCGTGTTTATCCTTCCGTGTATTAGAAGTTTGCTGTTCTACGAGTGCTTGGATGTAGGCCTATGAGATTTTATTTTCTGTAATTTCTTTAAATTGACAAGAAAGAGAGCGTGGAGCTTGTAAGTAATTTTATACCTTTGCCTGTGACTGTTTTTATACATTGTTTGATTATTGCAAATTTTAGGTATATAGATCTTACTTTTTTTCCTTTGTACTTTGCTTATGCTTTCGCGTCGTTATGACATCGCATATCATTAATCAGTCAGCATCAAATTATCATCATCAATCTCATCATCATCAATCATCATCATCATCATCATCATCATCATCATCATCATTCATCATTCATCTCATCATCATCATCATCATCATCATCATCATCATCATCACATCATCATCATCATCATCATCATCATCATCAATCATCATCATCATCAATTGACATTACTGACATTATCATCATCTTTAATCACATATCAATCAACAGTATTATTGAGATGCATTTAACATCAATGGAGAATCATTCAACATCAATTGACTTAACTGACATCAATTGACATATCAGTCGACATCATCAAACATCAACGTCATCAACTTTCATCAATCAGGATCAATCAGTATAATTGAATATTGTTCGTCGTCAATCATTGCTATTTTAATCTTTTGCCGCAGTTATATATTGTAGCAAGATGAATGCTCTTCTTTTTTCTTTTTCCTTTTTTAATTTGTGATATTTTTGATAGTTTACTTGATGTATTGGTTAATCTTCGCAGCCGGGACGCACAAAGCTAGAGCAAGTTGAAGGTGATTTTCCTGTAGAGACAAAGAGTTGTAGTCGCTGGTGCAAAAAATGTGTAGATGCAAGCGGAGACAACATGAATAAAGGAAAATGATTGCGGAAAGCGCCACTCACAGCCTAGATCCCCTTGGTGTTCCCGACTTTCAGCTCTGTCTTGCCATACCAAGAGAAATATTTGCGGAGGGGCTTTGGGGATCGGAGCACCCATCTACCCTTCCCGTGGGTAGAAGGGCATGCTATGTCACGGCAACTTTGATGGCTTGAATAGATTTCATGATGTGGAATTATGGATGTAGTCTCTGACGAGTCCTAATTTACTGATAAATCACTGAGGGCTTCATCTGGTTGGAATACACATGGTGAAGGTTTGTTGGCCTTTGCCAGAGTGCCTGTGGTGTAGAGACCATGATCATTGCTCAAGTCATAACATATGTGTCTTTTGGAAGGCAAAGCTGGAGACAGGTAAAAGTTTACCACCCCACAACTCAGATTCGGCACTCTTGGCGATTTACTGGGAAGCTTTAATGCACAGACAACTACAACACTCACTGTATGAATCATAATCACTTTCCTTGGGTCCCCGCAGTTTTCTTGCTGGTGCGGTACTTTTGTGTGTGTGATTAATCTTTACAGTACAGATGCACTCGCCACAGACTAATCCCCAACTCCACATTAAAATTTATTCATCAGTCTAAGTTGCTGTGACCGGGCGTGCCCGACATCAAGGGGAGGATTGATGGAGGGCTCTGCCTCCCAACAAACATTGTCTTCACTTTGTATGCACGGCAAGATAGAGCTAAAACTCAGGAACACCAAATTGATTTTGGCTGAGAGTGGTGCTTTCCTGATCTCTTATCCTCATTTTTGGTGATATCATTTGTGTCGGCAGATTATATGTTGTACTGACAACTACAACTTTTTTGCCTCTACAAGAACATCATATTCAATTTGACCAGACTTAGTGCGTCCTTTACCATAAAGATTAACCGTACACATGCACTCAAGCTCACTCCCTGGACTGCCTTTATTTTTTAGATCTTTTCTCTCTTAGGTGGTCCTTGAAAACATCAGAATGGGTTCCAAAGGCGTGTTTGCATTGCTGTTCATTACAGTCCTGAATAGCAATCACCTTGCAAAGGTATCTGCTGCCACCTCTTCTGGGGCTGCGCTGAGTGAGACAGTAAATGGCGGCACGAAGACAGGAGAATGCGCATATGCTGACTCTCATGGAAAGCAGATTAAGGTTGGTCCCTCCCCTCCCTCTTTCCTCTCCTATCTGGGGATTATATATCTTTGTGACCCAAAGAATTATATTCCTCAAAATTAAAAATACAATCCAAAATATATCTTTGTATTGTAATATATTCCAGCCATATTTTGTATTGTATTTTGGTAATGTATTTGAAAATTCTAGGTATGTATTTAGGGACGTAATATTAGATACATATTTTATATTACCAGTATATTCATGGGTTTTGAGAATGGATTTTTTGGTCTTTGGAGTATATTTTGGAATGTAGTTATTTCGGGTGTATTGTGTTTAAAAGAAATGTTTCTAGCTACTGCAATATTTTTATAGGTTTTGGAAACATTTTTCTGATTAGGCAATAGCTCTTTTTGTTTATTTGGACCATGTTTCCTGCTTGGCAATGTAATTTGAGGGTTTAATAACATAGTTTTAGGCTCTGCAAATATATGTAAAGGGCATTTTAAGATAGTAAGGGTTGATTAAAATTGAATTGGGTGTAAAAATAGTTTTTTTGTGATATCTTTTAGGGTAAGGGATAGACCCATTTATTAAATAAATGATAATGGCTGCCAAAAAGCTTAGGGATTAATGTGTTTTGTCGACCCTTAGCTCAGTGTTTCTCAAGCCACTCACTTCTTATTCTGCTTAAAAAGTTTTTTGAGAGTCATGGATGAATATTTGTTTAGCTAACACTCCAAAGAATGTGAATGTCTGTCTGTCTCTCCCATCCCTACTACTTTTTCTACAGATCAGTTACACAGAGTCTGCCTCAGGGGAAGTAACAATAACTTCTGGCAGTGGGTACTCTGGAAATGGCAAAGAGGAACTCCGCAAGTGCCGAGAGGCGGCTGAACAGGCACAGAAGGAAGCAGAGAAGGCTGTTGAAGAACACATGAAATCCATCACTGACATGAACTCTGATATCAAGAAGCAGCACGAGAATTTGGAGAAAACTATGAGGGATCTTAATGCACAGGTGGGCGCTGGTGGGGGAGTAGGTCGGGTTGGTAGTGGGAATGTGCTGCTGATGCTGGCCCTCTTCCTCTCCTCATGGATGACACGATTTGTGTCCCTTTAAGAATGGGGTAGGGCCTCTATGAGAAGTGGCCTGCCTGCCTGTTCACTCACCTGTCCACTGGCACTGCATGCAGAGTTGCACCATGGTATCGCAGGGCAATGAGGGGGCCTGCAATTTGCATTTTTTGATTGTGAAATTAACAAAAAAAAAATTAAGGTATCAGTCTCTTCTTTCTCCTATCTCCAAAAAGAAATGGAAATATGATTGGAAATCGAAAAATTATTGATAGTAGAATTTTTTTATTCTTTTTCTTTTTCATTTTAGAAGAAGAATAAAAAGCATAAAAATCAGGCGAGTAAGAAAGCTGATCAGAAACTCTCTGTTTATTCCATGCTTAGTCACTTATGCCTTCAAATTCCTTATAACTGAATGTATAATCAGTTGTTCATTATAAGAAGGTGTCACATAGAGATAAACAGAGAAAGATACAATGTGCCTCATCAATTGATTTGTCCATGAACATGATTCTAGATTAGGGTTGTTACATCATATAGTACCTCATTTGTGAAAGGGAGTGACAAGTGATCAAGAGCTTTAATCGTGGTTTTCTTACTCTTTTGCTGGTTAGGTTGTATGTCTCTTGTTATGTGGTATGACTGTGTATGAAACAGGGTTGTTCATATATATTCCTGTGTGATTGATAAGTTATATTTCCAGCTAACAAGCTTATATATCATTTATTAGCTTACTAGTTCTATTGTATTGGAATTTCACAATTGTAATCTCGAGAGTATTTGTATTTATATATTTATTTAGCCAAATTAGTTGTGATAACTTGAAATTAGCTGTTCTACAATGTAAACCAAAGAAAAATATTGTAGATACATGATTTTTTCTTCAGGCAGTGCCTGTTTTTTCCTTTTGAAAGGCAAGAAGACAGTAAGTAACAAAAGGCATCTTTTCCGGTGGCACTTAGGGTGTCGTGAAACGCGTCGCGACTCCAAAAACTGTCTCGTGATCGGAGGTGAGACAGGCCTCTAAGCTCCGTCTATTTCTGTGATGTAATGGGAATGATCGCGGTTGACGGCTTGCCATTTTACTGCACTGGTTATTTTTCCGACAGGTACATAGTATTTTGGAATATGATATCCAAGATGGCTTTTGTTATCTTATGGTGGGTAGTGCGGTTTTATAGATATCCAATATAAATACGAATATGCATAAAATATCCGAAGTAGGAGGATTGCATCTGGGAATCAATTAAAGTTAACTGTCTGCTCGATTCCTGTCGCGCAAGAGGTGTCGCGTTTCCCGTAACCACTAGAAAAGATGCCTAAAGTTTGGATAAGAAACCAAAGAAGGGTGCAAGGTATGTTGCAATACAGATTTTGTAAAGAGGAAAAAAACACATCAAAGGAAAAAACAATATAAATAGATTTTCTAATACTGACATTTTTTTAAACAAATTTCACAAAATGGAAGGTTCTCCTAATAGACTTCACATTTCGATATTTGGTAGACAAATCTTGCAGAAGAGGAGTTCACCTTTTTATATGGAAACATCAGACTCAAATCACCAGATACATATATATAAGGGTTTTAATATTATCATCACTAAGGATGTAATTACACAAGAATTTACCTTTATTACCAATAGTTAAACTTCTTGCAAAGAAAAGAATTTTGCTTTATTTTCCATATGTTATTTCTCAGATGTCACAAAAACAAATGACCAACAAGATTTTGAGATTCATCATGCTACACAGCAAAATAATTGCTAAATATATTAATCCAAGTTAATTGCAGGAGTTCAATTTGAAGGTAGCAACAAACAAATTATTTAAAGCGAGGAAAGTAGGCAGAGTTTTTTTGAAAATCTTTATCCTTTTGTGTGACAGATTCACCTTGTTTGTGCTATGAAGCCTGTGTTCACAATACCCTGAGCAGCTAACTTTTTAACAGCTATTAACTGTTACATATACAAATGATGCATGCACCTTCATATTAACCATTTTAAATTTTTTTATAGTGTTGTAATTGACAACCCTAGGTATTTAAGCTTCAAATTTTTTATACATTTAACATGTAAGATGATAATGGTATTCCTTGTAGTTTCCATGCCATTTTCTTATATTTAGAGTTTAATTATGAGAAATATGAAGTCTTACAATCTCGGAGAAACACACATTTCCCTTTTTTTTTTTTTTTTTTTTTTTTTTTTTTTTAGATTTTAAAAGTATCTCTTCAGCATATACCTGAGCAGCATATGAATGTGCTGTTGGATAGTTTTGCTTTTATCACTTACATTACACACTGCTTTTGTTATCTATTAAAGCTAGCTAACTTGTAAGTGCTTTCCATTTACCCATAATCATCAGGTATAATGCTATATCCACTGTGATTTTAGTTTAATTAACGCATTGTTGGTGGGAACACATAATGATCTGTATTTTAATGGCTCCACAAGAAGTCGACACCGAAGACTCAATTGATAGACCTCCAGAGCCTCACTTACTCTCAGCTTTCACTGAGTGTCTGGGATTTATTATTTTACTTTAAATATTAATAGTACTTTAGATGTGCAGCTCAGAAGAATATTTCTTCTAGAGGAAAGAGAGCAGTATATGAGATAAGTAGTTTTCAGGAATTTCTTTTATTTTTAATGCCATTGATATTGATCCTGTTATTGATGTTATTGACATTATGATTATCATTACAATGTTGTTAAAAATTTCTAATAGCAATGAAGAAATAAAAGATATTTTTAAAAAATCAAGGAGAAGCGTATACAGCTGAGGTAGATTGGACTAATAACTAAGCACTTGTGGAACCATTAGTGTATGATTATACAAATGCATTAAAATGATATGATATTGCACCAATGCTTGTGGTACTGTCCTGTAGATAACATTGTAGCAAGCGCATGGTTCCATTCTCCCTGGGGTGTTAGCTTAGAGAGGGAATGGATGTAATATCCTTTCTTGTGAGTAAAGGAATTACATACGCAAATGTTATATCACTTATCATTTAGTGTAATCATCTGTTTTTCTTTTTTGGCGTAGTTTATATTTGTTTTCCTGCCTAGCATTTCTCCATCATTCTCTTCCATTTCTCTGTCTCCTTTCCTCCGTTTGTGTGCCCGCTCACACAGGAAATTTATTCACAGATGATTCTTTTATTTATTAAAGAAGATGCTGTTTAGTTTCAGGAAATTTATTCACAGACGATTCTTTAATTCATCAAAGAAGATACTGTTTAGTTTCTGCATGCCTTGTCTCTTTGAAATATGTTTTTTGACTATACATGCCCCAAATGTTATTTCACAGTTATTTAATCATTTGTATATTATTTATTTTCTTATCTTTTTTTTTCTATACAAAAAAATTTCCTTGGATTGAAGAGAAATGCTGTATCCCCCCCCCAATACTCTCTCTCTCTCTCTCTCTCACTCCCCCTCTCTCTCTCATCCCCTCTCTCTCTCACTCCCCTCTCCTCTCTCACTTCCCCCTCTTTCTCTCACTCCCTCTTTCTCTCACTCCCCCTTCTTTTCTCTCTCTCTCTCTTCTCTCTCTCTCTCTCTCTCTCTCTCTCTCTCTCTCCTCTCTCTCTCTCTCTCTCTCTCTCTCTCGTCTCTCTCTCTCTCTCTCTCTCCTCTCCCTCTCCTCTTCTCTCTCTCTTCTCCCTTCTCTCCCTCTCCTCCCTCTCCTACCTCTCCCCCTCTCCTCTCTCCCTCTCCCTCTCCCTCTCCCCTCCCTCTCTCCTCTCTCCCTCTCCCCCTCTCTCTCCCTCTCTCCCTCTCCCTCTCCCTCCCTCTCTCCCTCTCTCTCTCCTCTCTCCCTCTCCTCTCCTCTCTCCCTCTTCCTCCCTCTCTCCCTCTCCCTCCCCTTCTCCCTCTCCCTCCTCTTCTCTCTCCTCCCTCTCTCCCTCTCCCTCCTCTCTCCCTCTCCCTCCCTCTCCTCTCCCTCTCCCTCCCCCACCTCCCTCCCTCCCTCCCTCTCCTCCCTCCTCCCTCTCTCTCTCTTCTTCTCTCTCTCTCTCTTCTCTC